GGGGGGGGGGGGGGCACAGCTGCTGCTCCCAGGGTATTCCTAAGTCCCATGTGGCCACCCCTCTTGCTGGCAAGGCACAGATGGGTGCAGGTCCCTTCACCACTTGTCACCCCACCTGACTGTAGCGAGGCACACTGACCGTAATATACCTTTCTCAGGGGTGGCCTCCTGGGAGGAGGACTCGGATCCCGACTCAACAGCCGTGTTTTCCCTGCTGGCATCTGAGCTGAACTCATTTAATTTGGGGGGGCTCTGTGGGGGAGCAAACGCACAGGGAGAGGAGGAACATTAGTGTGGCACAGGTGGTAAGGCCTACAGGACAGAAGCTCCAAGTTGGAGCAGTCCTGGTGCTGCTGCTTCTCCAGCAGACACTTGATGGACAAATTCCAGTGCAGCCGCACCTGTATGCCACATGCAAGCCTGCACGCTGCCCACCTAACCGTGCTGTGCTTTTGTCTCCCAACACCTCTCGAGGGGAGATGCAGGAGAAGTGAGAATCACTACAGGATGGGGCAAAGGTGGAGGGAACAGGCAGCGGGAACCGCCTGGCCACAGGCAGGTTTTGGGGTGTGTGCTCCATCTGGTAAAGAAGGCCAAGTGTGGGAGAAGAGCCTCCCAGAGCCCTAACCACTGCCCTTCCTGCAGGCCAAGCTCTCTGTGCACCCAGATCCTTGGCTATGGTACGGCCAGAGTGGGGTGGCTGTAGCCCTGTGTGTGGCACTGATGCTGCCACCCCACAAAGTGGCAGTGCTTTGCTGGCAGGGAATATGGAGGCCCTGTCCCCACTGGGCTGCAGCCTGCTGATCTGCCAACTGTCACCACCCCAGCCCACCTCACAGGAGCCATGGCCACAAGGAGGCCTCCCAGGCCACCAAAGCCAGGGCCCAGCCCATCTTTAAGTGGAATCTGAGCAGGGCCTTTTTCCCCCCTCTGACTACCACTCAGTGAAGTTCTGATTTCACAGGGGACGATGCAGCAGTCTTACAACATGTGCCCTGACCAAGGATGGTGCCAACAGGGCCACTCACCAACACACGTTCACTCATGTTCTGACCAAACACGAACTTGTTGCTGGAGGCATCGGCATTGTTGGCTGAGTTCTCTGCACTGGAGAGGAGATGCGCGGTGAGCATGGGGCCCACAGGTGTATGTGCCATGGGCAGAGTAGGCCGCAGGCAGGAATCGGCAGTGAGCAGCTGAGTTCCCTCTGCCCGAAGCTCTGGGCCAGGCATGCTGTCCTGGCAGAAGTGCCCAGGAGGCCGCCGTGCCCAGCTCTGCCAGCCCGAGGAGCATCTGTCTCCCAGGCAGGAACATCTTTCTTGGTGGACCCCTGGCACCCAGGCCCAGGCCAGTGGGCACCAGCAGGCCTCTCACAGCTCCCAGAGGCAAAGGAGCTCACACTGCCCATCAGTTCTGCCCAGGCCTGAGGTCGAAGACATAGGTCCTCTGAGACTGGGCTTTAGCGTCTTAAACTCAGCTCCTACCTCAGGTCCATTAAAGCCCAGGACGAAATTGGCCAGGGGTGGGTGGGAAGGGCCCAGGTCCCAGCCTGAGTCAGGGATGAGGGCCCTGACTCAGGCCCCGCCACACACCTGGAGCTGATGTACTGGAGGAAATAGTTGGTGGCGGTTGGCGCTTCGGAGCTGGGGTGTCCTGTGTTCTCCACATCAGCAGTGTCAGTATTTTCGCTCATTAGCTGGAAAAGAATGGTGGGGACTTTGTCGTGGGCCAGCCTGCACAAGGCCACACTGTGGGCACAGGTGCAGGGGCTGTAGCCTGCACTGCCACAAGGTGCTTTCCACACTCAGTATACAAAACCACGTGAGCAGGCATTAGAGTGCCTCATCTACCTGGTTACGAAAAGCTGTACTCTAGGGGGCCTATCAGGGGCATGTCAGGAACAGAGATGCTCACAAATCTGACCCTAGGGCTGTGTCACACACATGATAATGGCCACTGAGGTGCCAAGCCATGGAACCCCGAGGCAGGCACTATCACCCCGAGCTACTGACAAGGCCGTGGATGTGCAGAGGCCCTCCTCACAGAGCAGCTGGGTCCACAGTGAGACACTAGAGCCCTCCCCCATGCCTGACTTCTGTAAGATAGAAACCTCAAGGCAAGGGACAGACCAAGCGGGGCCGGTCCTGAGTGCTGAAGGAGTGACCCCTGGGGACTGCGTGCTCTGGGGAAAAGCATGGCAAGCCTAACGCCTGTTTTCCGCATCTCTCAGGGGCTGGCACTCTGGCCAGTGACAGCAGGTTCCGCCAGCATTTCCTATGCAGCGAGGCAGCTCTGGCTGCTCATCTCAGGCTCTCTTACCCACTGTGCACACCAGGGCTGGGCATCCTGGGTCCTACCAGAAGCTTCCCCAGTTGAGACAGCCACCTGTGTCCCAGACACGGGCCACAGATGCCATATCTCAGACTCCTGAAGAGGCTACCCGACAGTGAGTGCCCATTCTGGCCTCCCCAGCACGTGGGGCCCCAAGATGCGATCCTCTTCTGACTGGCCTCCAGCATGACTGGACATGCATACTCAGCTGCCTCTTTGTGCTCTTTGCCTTAGAAAGCACACTAAGTGCCACACTAAATGAGCAGATTTGGGGGAAGCCTGGTGCTGGGCAGGGCGAGTGCCAGCCCCTGGGCCCAGAGGCTGGGAAGCATGTAGCCCCCAGTATGTGCCACTGCTCCCAGGAGGCCCTGCCACGGTCTGAAAGCACATACCTTCACCCTGTCCCTCAAGTTCTGCCCGAACACAAATGCCTGTCGCGCACCCTCCTCTGTTCTCTCATAGCTCTCCTCCTCAGAAGCATCGCTACACTCGTTCCTCCGGGGTTCTTTCTTCTATGGAAAGAAGGATAGTAAGTAACCAAGAATGGCAGTTGCGAGCCTAGATCAACAAGATCAGTCACCCATGTTGCTTCCTCCACACAGCTCCTTGTGTTGCCAGGCAGGAGCCACCTGGCCACACACAGACTTTCCTTGGGCTGCTGTCTCCCTGTATAGCATCTGTGGGGGACAGTGGCTCATGCATAGAGCACGGAGTCTCAGACACAGGCTGCCAGCCTCTTCCCCACCTCAGTGAGTGGATGGCAAGATGGGACAGCCTAAACTGGCAACACTGGCTGCTACACCGTGCAGCACCAAGCAGAGCTTGCCAGGATGGTGTCAGGGCTTGCACACAACTGTGGACTTTAGCCTACGGTCAGTCTGGATTCCATAGTCCATTCAAAGTCCCCTGAAGAGTGACAGCCTTTCTGTCCAAGTGGACAGTACAGTAAGAGAACATCACACCCAAAAGGCCTAAACTGCTGCCAAGATCTTGTCCTCAGACACCCTGTCCAAGAGAGAGCAAGAGATTCGCAGCTGCAGCAGCCTGAGCACCATGCAGAGCAGGCACCACAGGAGCTATGCGGGTCAGGTGCGGAGGTGCTCACCTGTAACCCAGCACCTGGCGGCTGTGGCAGGAGGCTCTCAAGTCTGAGCCTCGCCTAGGGAACTTAGCCCCTGTCTCAAAACAAAAATTACATTTTGGGGATACTGCTCAGTGTGAAGTGCTAGTAATGGGGGTGAGAGGGCTCATGGGGGAAAAGCATAATGATGTAGCTGCTACTGAGAAAAACAGGTAACTCTCACCTGAAATGACTTCCACAATACAGCAATTACAGAAAAAGTTTTGGCTTGGAGAAGCTTGATTCCATTCTGGTTGACAATGAACCCAGGAAGCCATGTGTGGAGCATGCCTATAATCCCCACACTCAGGAAACTGAACCAGGATATGTGCACTAGTTTGAGGCCACCCTGGGCTACAGTGAGTTCAAGGATATCCTAGACTACACAAAAAGGCCCTGTCTCAAAAATCAAACAAAACCAAGCACCATATAAAAAAGGAAAAGAAAAACGACCCAAGACCCAGGTATGGTGGTATATGCCAGTAATTCCAGCAGTCTGGGAGGCTGAAGGTAGGATTTAGTGAGACTTGGTCATGAGGGAACAACCCAGGAAGCGCCACCCAGGAAGCACCGTGTGGCAGCACAAGCTACAGACAAAGAATCACTCTTGTCGGGAGTGATTCTGTGGTCACTTAGCTCATGGTTCCCCCATGTGCTGTGTGTGTCACATTCCTGGGGTGGCAGAGGATGTAAAAGTCCTGCCTTGTGCCCTGGGGTGTGACTACACTTACATGGAGTGCTAGCTTTAGAGCCAGACATGGGAACCTAGGGGTGACAGATCAGGAGTCAGATAAAAAAAGTCAATAAAAAAGGTTGGAGATACAGCTCAGTGCTGAGACTCTGGTCTCCATCCCTAGGGCCACAAAACAAAAAAATCTTCTGCCAGAACCCCCAACAACAAAAAACAAAACCAAACCCAGGGGTTCAGCTGAGCACGGTGGCGCATGCTTATAATCCCAGTACTTGGGAGGCTGAGGCAGGAGGATCACTGTAAATTCAAGGCCAATCTGAACTACATAACAAGACTAGGTCTCAAAAAAAAAAAAAAACAAAAAACCCCCAAAAAACCAAAACCACCAAACAAACAAACACAAACAAAATCCAGGGGTCCTGGCTATGACTCAGTGGCAGAGCATTTATGCAGCATGTGGGAAGCATGGATAACCTGTTTCCAGCACAAGGGGGACGAGGAGATGGATGTGTAGTGAACACAATCCCATGTGCGTGTGTGTGTGTTTAAAAATGCCCAGGAGACAATGAATAAAAACGCTACAGAAGCTACCTGGGGAACTCTTTCTTCACTGGAGGGTGGCCGGCATTTTTCATTTCACAGATTTCCATATTGTTTAAGTGTATTCAACTTTCAGGTGTGACTTTAGTGACTAAAAAAAAATTTTTTTTAATTTGTGTGTGTGTGTGTGTGTGTGTGTGTGTGTGTGTGTGTGTGTGTGTGGTCAGCTCAGCCCACAGGAGGCGGGGCTGGCTGGCATGTGGTGCTGGGGGATTGAACCGCGGTCCCTGTGCTTTGCTAAGTTTGTTCTAAGTAGGTGCTTTAGACCACGGAGCCATCTCACTAGCCCCTAAAAGTTTTAAGAATTGACTCAATTACCTTGGGATTTAACAGAAAGCATGCAGTAATTCACTGTTTTCCCATGCTACACAATAGAAGCTGCTGTGGGACAGAAAAGTTCTGGGGCTCCTACTCCAGGGATCTGCACAGTGGTTTCCCTGTGACCTGGGGGGCAGGGGGACTTGGCCTGCTTGAGGTGCCTGAAGTCACTCCCTGGGGCTCCTCACTGGCAAGGAGAGGGGTAGTTTCACTGTTGGCCCAGGACCTGCCATCACAACACTAATTCACCTTCTGCTCCCTGGCAAGGATGTAACTGTTTCTCTACTGTACTTCCATGAATCCTGCTATTGTTGACTTCCTGTTGAGGCCTGTGTCCATGAAAACAAGGCCTTTAAAAATTAAACACACCAGGAGGCCTTGGTTGGCTGCGGATCCCCTGAACTGCCTGCCCCCAGCTTTTCTCCCTGTGCTCCCAGATGGGTGATGGGGAGGGGAGGCAGAGCCTGCAGAATCATCACCTGAGAGGCAGGCAGGCAACTGAGCAAAAACCTGCTGGGGGCCTTCCAGTCTCCAATTACACTAATTTGCAAATCCCCCATGGCCAGGAAGCCTCTTGCTCACTTTTGCTGCTAGGGTCCTGGGTGTCTAACCCTGGTGTGGATGACCCAGGCAGCTCCCTGTCCTAAGCTCCTTTCCCTGGTGGGAGTCCTATACATCACCCCTTTTCTTGTCGGGAGTGATTCTGTGGTCACTTAGCTCATGGTTCCCCCATGTGCTGTGTGTGGCACACTCCTGGGGTGGCAGAGGATGTAAAAGTCCTGCCCTGCGGTGTGACTACACCCATATGGAGTGCTGACTTTAGAGCCAGACATGGGAACCTAGGGGTGACAGATCAGGAGTCAGAAGATGCCACAGGAGGAGGAACTTCTGTCATCAGGGACACCAAGCCTAATCAATGGCAGGGAGACCAAGAGATACAACCTCCCAGCTCCACTACGTGAGGGTACAGGCCTGTCCGCATGCCAGGGAGGCCTGGAACCCACGGAGGAGTGATGTAGACAAATACCAGCGCTGGGCAGCCTGTGTGGATATCATGGGGCCCTTGGAGGAGAATCAGCTTGGTTCCCTGCAGCTCACATGTACAGTGCCTCTCTGCCCTCCATCCTCAGCTCTCAGCATCTGAGAAGCAGCGAGTAGTGAAGGTGACTCCGCTTCTACATTTTTACCTGAGCACAGAGGCCAGCAGGGTGGACATGCACAGTGCTCAGGATGTTTAGAACGTAACTAGGAACCTGAACATCTCCAAAGGTGGTGTCCTGACCTCAGAAACAGATGAGTGGAAAATAAACACAGTCCCCGAGGCTTCTCACAGGGACACCACCTCTGGTGCTGCCACAACTCTGTCCTCCAAGCCCTGGGCCAACCCTGAATGCTGGCTCTTCTTCAAGCCTCTCCTGTGCTAGGTTGCAGTGAAACACACTGCCCTTGGCCCAGATAACCCCAGCACCCTGGGAGACTTTTTCTTCTTAAAGGAGCCATCCTGAGCCAACTCCCCAGGCAAATGGGCCAATGAGGTCAGGCACATGCAGTTTCTAAGCAGGTCACTTCATTGTGGTAGATGGGTGATTTTGCACCCAAAATGCTGTAAGGCATGCCCCACAATGGCCACTCCCAGGACCCCAGGCTCAAGGAGGCTAGAAGTAAGAGTAGGCCTGTGCAGGCAGACACAGGCTAGGGAGGCTTCCCCAGACACTGTCCTTTCTGACCAACATCTTGGAAGGCTGGTGAACTACATGTGGTTTGTCTCTGGGAGAAGGAAGCCTTGACCAAATGTGGGATGTGAGTGCAGTTGGGACTTTGTAGGGGATCTGATGAAAATGGTCAGGTCATGAGGGAACAACCCAGGGAGGAGTGATGTTCTCACAGGACAGGAGTTCTTGGAAATAAGTTGTTAGAAAAACCAAGACTGTCCCTTCCCGACCCCCTGGGTTCTTGCCCTGCCAAGAGAATGCACCCTCCCACATCCATCCCCAGTCGTACAAAGACACAGCCAGAGCCCTCACGAGGGGCGCTACTGTGCTGCTGTCTGCACGTTCAGCTTCTACATCACTCTGTGGCCAAGCCCAGGTAACACAGAGTACAACCACCAGATACAGATGTTCACTGAGACCACCAAACAAATCCACAAAGCTCTCAAACAGGCCCTGGCACAGCTGCTCGGCACAGGTGGCGGCTGTGACTCACGGGACCCCCAAGTGGTGCCCTCCAGCTCTTGCCACTGACCTCAAGTGTGAGCGCCTCATCAGCAGCCTCAGGACTTCGCTGTGCAGGGTTTTCTGGTGACGATGATGTCGTGGCCCCCATGCAATCTGCTGGGATGCTGACGCCGTTGGTGCCGCTGCTGGGGACTGTGGGGAGGAGGAGAGTGTCCAGCCAGGACTAGACCCTCTCATGGCCCAGTACGAGGCACCCGTAGAAGGAGGGGACCTTGCATCGCTGTTAAAAGTCACATGCTCTTAGGTAAGAAACTAAAGCCTCATAGCAATGGGGATCCTTTATTCCAAAGGAGAACTGTGTGATTTTTCAGTGTTTTAAAAGCAATACTGCTAACACACACACACACACACACACGTATGTGCGCAGTGAAAATACTGAAGAACAACCTTTTTCTGTTTGTCAGTACTGGAGCCTGAACCCAAGGTCTTGTGTATGCTGAGTTGCACTTCTATTGCTTTCTAAATTTATTTAACATTTCAGACATGGGCTCACTGAACTGTCTATCTGGCCTGGATCTTGTGATCCTCTTGCCCCAGCCTTCCGAGAGCTGAAACTGCAGGTGGGGAACACCTCTTTGTGAGCTCTGTGAAAACAATTTTAATAATAAGGTAAAATATGTAGGTTTTTCTCCTTTACTATAGTGGAGAATGGGCTGGGGCTGACACTCCCCGGTGAGAACCTGCCCAGGACTGCCCCCCAAAAAAGATACATTTACATATTTTGAACTCTGATTTTAACTGTTTAGCATTAGATTAAAATAATTTTCTATATGATTAAAAACTTTCAAAAATATTAACCAGTTCTTCTGTGTTGAAAGTTGAGTTGCTTTGAGTTACAGGGAAACAAGAGGGAAAAGCTCATTACTATTAACAAAACTAAGAATGAACTGGGAACCACTCCCTGTGGAGTTTAGGAGTTAGGTCTTAAGGCTGGCAAGTAAGATGAAAATGCATGTTTCGCTGGGTGTGGCGGTACATGCCTATAATCCCAGCACTCAGCAGGCTGAGGCAGGAGGATCGCTGCGAGTTTGAGGCCAGCCTGGGCCACAAAGTGAGTTCAAGGCCAGTCTGATCTGCATAGCAAGATCCTGTCTCCAAAAAAGAAAACAGAAAAAAAAAAGAAAAAACATGTTTCATCAAGATGGAGAGGAGAGAGGGAGCGCGTGGGAGTGTGCCCTTAAGCAACCAGCTTTTCAGAAGACAGGATGGACAGAGCATGTTTCACCAGGGGGTCACATCACTGGAGGAGGTGGGGGTGCAGTGGCTGACAGAGGTCCACTACACTCCACAGTGCTCTGAGCAACCTGCCATCCCTCAAGGATCTCCACTGTACCCCCATCTCTTACCGGTCTGTGCCAGCACCTTGGGCTGTGGGGCCTGCAACACGGCTGGGCGGAGTACACTGCGCTGCTGTTCCTTAGGCTTCTGGCTTGGCAGACCTGTGACGGAAGTCAGTGGTCCTGTGCCCAGGTCCCAGTGGGAGCCTAGTGCCCAGCCCACCCAGGTGGCTCCAAGAGAACTAACCCAGAAACCTGTTTGTGTCCCCTAGGGTTATACCGAGCAGGGAGTTTTCTAAAAAGTCTTGAGAACATTTCCTTACAGCTGGTTGCGAGACAGCTATTCTATGTGATTCCCACCTAATGTCAGGATGCTCACTGAGCGACAACTGTTCTTGTGGGGCTGGGTTCATGTGTAGGTAGACTTGCTGACTGCTTAAAACCCACATGCAGAAGAGCCCTCTGCCAAATGTAGCAGGGGCAAGGCCCAAGTGCGGGCTTTCTGCCCTTGTGGACCTCTGCCAACCCGACTCCTGGTCCTGCCCCAGGCAGCAGCCCCTGGACAGGCAGCAGCTCTGCTGTCACTGCCACACCAGGGCCGCTCCTCTGCTGCTGTCAGAGGCCCTGTCTCTTGCTCAAACAGACTCCACAAGCGACTTTCTAGGTTCACCAGCCAGCAGCCTGGGAAGGTACAGCAAAGCCTTCAGAAAGGGCCACCTACCTGCACTGGGTGCCTGGCCATGGATCAGTGTTGGTGGCTTCAATCGGAACCCGCTACTCTTTTCCTCTGCAAGCACAGATAAAATACTGCATGAAAAACAGGCTTGTGTGGGGTGGAGAAGACAAAAAGGTGGTGGAGCTTGTTCTCTTTCCAAATGTGCCCACTTAGCTGTGAATGACTCCTTCCTCAGGGACAGCACTACTGGCTACCTGCTAGTGACAGCCAGGAGCCCGTCCATGACCCCTGGATCTGTCTTGTGATTCTGTGATGGACGCTGGTCTAATCTGATTGTGACAGAAGAGGCCACCACAGAAAAATCTCCCTTTTGTGCTGAGTCAATCCTTGTCAGGACACAGGGTCCGAGACCAAGACACAGAACCAACCATGTGACTATACATTAGCAGTGAGCACTCCGAAGTGAAACAAAAACAGTTCCACTTACAGTAACCACAAGAGGACTAAGATACTTGGGGGGGGGGGGGGATTCAACAAAGAAAACTTTAATATGAAACACTGCTGGAAAAATTTTTGAACAAACAGAAAGATGTGCCAAAAAGCTACATGGTACATGATCCATAGATAGGAAATGTCCAGAACAGGCAAATCCACAGAGACCAGAAGTGGGCTCATGGTTGCCAAGGTCTGGGGGAGGGGACAGGGCTTCTTTTTGGTGTGATAGAAAAGTTTTAAAACTAATGGCAATGGTTGCACAACTCCATGGCTACACTAAGGCACTTGACTGCACATGAAAATGTGTCTGTTGTGACACAGTGGTCACAAAAACCACTACAAAGAACCCACAACCACAGCACACAGCAAAGAAGTGCCACCAAGGAGTTCTCTGCAGGAGGCAAACATGAATTTTTCCTTCCAAAGCACAGGGTCACACAGAAGGTGACTGGCAATTGAGATACATCTTTAAAAGTTGAAGTCAAATTTACAATTTAGATAAATTTCAGAAGCCCTGAGAGCTGGATGTAGAACACGTGAGCCGCGGCTACAGAATACCCTTTGCAGCCTACTTTGTGCAGAGCCCACGCTAACATGGCCAAACCCTGGCCCAGCCCACTCTGTAGAAGCACAGGAGGCCCACACTGAGCCAGTGTTCCAGTGAGCAGACACACAAGGTGTACGGCATTTCTGATGACAGCTGGATACTGAGAAGGGCACCTGGACAGCTGCCGGTTCTTACTTGTGGTCTGGTCTCATTCTTTGCAGAAATGCCTTTCATGCAGCATAGGCAGGGTGCCACACAGTCCCTGCTTTGGGCCAGACCTACATACCAGTCACACCTCAGCACCTGGGACACAGGCATGGCTCCCCATGGTCCCCCTGGGGAAGCCCATGTGTACCAGGAAGCAAGTATGAAGAGAGCTCAATTCAGTCAGGAGCATGCCCCGTAAGAAACCCGGCCAAAATGGGATACTGAAAAGCAGCCAAGAGCAGGCAGCCTGGCTTGAGTTGTGGCCTGTGCAAGGCCAGGGCAATGGGGTGGAAGGCAGTGGGAGTGAGGGAAGGAGGAGTGAACACATCAGCGACTGGGTACAAAACCAACCTGCCAGTACTGGACAGGAAGCTCCATGTGGCCTGGGGAACCCATATGCACAGACAGGCAGGCAGAGGGGCTGCTCACACAGGTGGAGATGTGTGTGTGATCCCGGCTCTGCCACGGAGACATTGAGAGCAGGGACACAGCCAAGGCATCGAGCACCCATCTTCGGTTCCAGGGAGCACTCGCCTCAACAAAGTACCAGGACCCATCTGAGAAACGGCAAGATTCCAGGGCTAGGACAGGAAAACAGTTTGGGGCCTCTTGCCAGGAGAAAGCGAAGAAAATGCTTTAGAAAAATGATAGAGACTTGCCCCTAGGACACAGAGACCTGCCTGACAAAGCACCTGTTTGGGAGGCCTGGGACAATCTGAGCATTAAAATAAAAACTCTACCAGAAACAGCCCACCAGTTAAAGTGGGAACCCACACAGCCACATGGCACAAGTCAAAGGGTTGGCATGGGAGGATCATCCTTCCAACACAGTGCCATTCATCAAGGCAGGCAGAGTCACTTGTGCACAGAGGGGTCATGACTTCTCCTGAAGAGAAGACAGTGCTGCATTTGGAGTAAGGGAAAGATTTCCTGGAGTCACCCGCTATCTCTAGAGTACTGATCAACATGGAGAAGGGGGAGCTATTGCATATAACTGGCATACCTGCTGAATTAGGTGCAAAGCACCCTACTCAGTGACTATCACTAGCCCGTTAGGGGGACCAACAAATGTGGAGTACACACCACAGACATGTGTCACTCGACATTCCCTGGGTCTGATCTCCTAGGAACGCTGTGCAGACAGCCCAAAGGACGCCCATCTGCTGGACACTGCTGCAGCCTCCCCAGGCATAGTCGACAGGCAGAGGAACTGTCACAGTGGAAGGAGAGACATTCATTGTCCCTTTGCTATAAAGGAGAGGTGGACCACTCAGAGGGTAAGGAAAGTCTCCAAGTAAGAGGGACACAGAAACACTTGATGAGTTTTCTGTAAATGTGAAAACTTTTCAGAATTCAAGCTAAAGCAGAAAGAAGAGGTAGGCAGGCAGGGAAGCTCACTTTGTGGGTAGCCTGATACACTTTCACGCACCCACTGGTTAATCAGGGGACTGGGGACTTTCAAATGAGATTGTGTCCGTGCTCTGGAAGGGCTGCCCTGCTCCTAATGCTGGAAGACACAGCTGAGGGACAGCATGGCATGGTTTGCTTTTACCCAAGGTCAGCACGAGACTGACACATACCACAGCTCAACTGCTAAAAGGACTGAGCCCTGAGGGCTCTGTGACCAATAACCTGTAGCAGAACCTGGGGCTGCACCTGGCTCAGGACTCTGCCTCCCAGGCTGACATGCTGCCCCTGGGAACCCTGAAGAAGCCAGCCCTTCCTCATGATGAGGTTGGGAGCCAGCTCCACACAGTGCGCCGCTCAGGCCAAAGTCAAGTCCACTGTTTGAAACTGCCATCAAATTGACCCTCAAAGTTACAAAACACGCCTTCCCACTTCCTCTAACGTTGACATCATGCCAGCAGATGACTTATCTCGTCATTCTTTTGAAGTGAGCAGTGCATTTACATAAGGCAGGCTGGGTTACAGAACTTGGGTTGTTAAACTCCCTCATAAAATCTTTTATGGGGAATTTCAGCCACGTGAGAAAAATTTTGAGGAAAACTTAAGAGTTGGTTCTATAATGAAAAACCAAAAAAGACAGACTCTGAACTCTTTAGGTGGATCAAGCTGTTTTCCTTAACATTTTAAAATTCTGTTAGGTATGTTTCTAGGCGACATTAATGTGAAAATTGAACACCCAGGAAAGGAGCCTGGAAAAATCATACACACTTCTCAGCAGTTACCTCTGGGGTGGGAGAATGAGTGGGAAGGGGGTATGGAATTCTTTTATATTCATTTTTCTAATTTTTTAACCAAATATATTATTTGTGTATGAAATTTTGAAAAATGAATAGTACCTCTTTCGTTTTTGGTACAGGATCTCCCCATATAGTGCAGGCTGGCCTTGAACTCACTTATGTAGTCCAGGCTGGCCTCCAACTCAGTGATCCTTCTGTCTCATCCTCCCAAATGGTGGAATTACAGGTGTGTGCCACCACATCCAGCTTCAAAAAAAAAAATTTTTTTTTTTAAACGGATGTCAAACTCCCTATAATCAGGACTTGGACAGAGAGAAAGACACTTCTGGGGCTTTGTGAATCCACTCACATGGACTCCAAATTGAAAGCTGAAGGCTGGGGGAATGTCCAACAACTGACAATGAATCCTGACTTCCATTACCCATTCCTACTGAAGATCTTATGGGGCAACATCCACTACAGTGCATCAAGGAGACGGACACAGGTCTGCCTACTGGCAGGCTCACAGCATTGTACTTTGATGTGTGGGCAAGGAGGTGCAGCAAGAAAGGGACAAGAGGAAAGAGCCTGAGTAGACAGGGTGACCATGCAAGGGCCACACCTGTCACAGCAGTTCCTAAGTCCTACCACAGGGGAAAACAGCATGTGGAGAAGACATTAGATTTTCACAACAAAAATCTCTTTATGGTGAGAGAAAGGATCTCTAGGCTGACAGCCTCCATGAGTCTGATAGCTGGTTGCCCATCCTGGCTCATGCCCGATGCCAGCATGAAATGCCAGCCAGCAGGGAAGCAGAACACACAGAGGTCCCTGTGGCTCGTCAGAGGCCACCTCAACCTGTTCCTTCCTGCCAGTCTGATGCCTGCACCTATTTGCCAAACACGGGCTGGCCTAGGATTCCAACAACCCAGAACTTGCCAAAAAGCCAACTCGGAGCACAGGGAGGACAGAAGCAGTGATGTGGAATCAAAAGAGGGCAGAGTGAAAACTGCTTTCCAGATGTGATTACCACTACTGGCCCAACCCCAACAATTGAGAGCTGAGTATTTCGTAGGTATGGACAATGGAGGGGAGTCCCCCACCTCTACCATGGGACCTCCTCATGCAGAAAGTAGACTCAGCTTGAGGCATGCAGGAGGAAGGCACAAAACTAATCATCAGAAGGCATAAGCCCCTCTTACCACAGGGATGCCTGCCCTACCACACACAGATCCTTAAACAGAGGACATCACTGCTGCCTGGACAGTAAACCATGGGCAGCTGCCCACTCGGGTCCTCATGGGGCTGCGGGCAGGGATGTGGCAAAATGCCCCAAACCAACACAAAGGGCTACAGGCATGAAATCCAGCATGCCAGAGGGACGATAGGAAAGGAATACCTTTGTAACTGGTACAGTCCTGTAATGCATGCATCTCTGTGGGCACTAATTACTTTCACAAGGTTTTCCCCTTATTACAGCCTGAAAGTTCACAACTGCATAAACTTATACAACTTCCAAGGAATGGAGTTCTCGTTAGGAAGCTGAGACACATGCCTCCAAGCTGGCCTCACAGACAGCTGAGACAGAGACCATGAGACAGTGCTAGAGTGGACCAAGCTGCAAGAGGGAACAGGGGCTGGCTCAGTGGCTGCAGTGACCCTTGAACCTGCAGGGGTGCCTCACAGATGGAGGCAGAGGGCCAGCTCGCTGAGTTTCCCACTAAGTGGCCCTGACTCTCTACCGTGGGAAGCTGCCTCTCCAGTGCAAGCTATTCACAGCCTCAGGCTGGCCCACTGTCCTCTGTATCTGTGCCTGTTACCCTTGGGTCCCCCTAACTCCACCAGGTCTCAAAAACTACCTTGAGTGATAGGAGGGAGGATGGGAGCTCATGGTGACACACCCAGGTCTCCACTGTTCCTTCAGACCCTAGATACCAGGTAGGCAGCTGTAGGGTTGGAGGTCATTCTACTCCCTCCACTTTCAGACATCAGCAATTCCCAGCAGCCTTGGAAAGAGCTGGAACTCATAGTCCCAGTCCCTTGAAAGGCTCTCCACCTTTTTCTTTATTTTGAGGTTACTTTTTCAGTCTTTCTCAGTATACTACATTTTACCTGGGGTGCTACACTTGGGGCAGGCAGCTCTGCCCTCATTCTTGACAATGGACCTGGGCGGGAGCCAGGGGGCAGGTTCGCAGCAAGCTCAAGGGCAAGGGCACATGTGCACTTACCTGACTGTGAGGGTGCTAGCTGTGTTAAAGATGATGTTCTTTCTCGCTTGATAGGAGGGCAATAATTTCCATCTTCTCTGTCGGAATCTACGGCACAGAGGAAGAGAAAAAACGTCAGACTCCTGGCAGTCTTAACTTCCAGATGGCCACATGTTTTGGAGACATCCTTACCTTCTCCTGCTTCTGGACTGGAGCCTCCCGCTGACCTCTGGAACGAGAGCAAGCAGGCAGTGAGGGGCAGCCTGATGCCGAGCCCATGATCCTGGCTCTGGGGTGGGGGAGCCCAAGACTCAAGGCTGAGGTGGATGCTCTACCCACTTCCCCAATAGCTTGGCTATCTTCCCAAGGAGCCCAGCTGTGCACCCCAAGACCCACCCTCCTAGCATCCTCTCGGTCAGATTGCCTGCTTCTCCAGGGTCACCCCAACACACAAACATGATACAAAGGTGGTGCAACTTCACCTAGCCACACCCCACCCTGCCCAGGGCAACTCTCTACCACGACTGCTCAAAGCAGTAGCCTGATACCATGGTGGAGGTGGAGCAATATTCCCACCATCCCTGGCAGGGCTGACTCCTGTTTCAAGCTGGGCTATGATTTCCAGAGTAAGTGAGAGCTCTTTTATGCTTGAGGCTGAAGTCTGCAGCCAAGCAGTCAGAACACAAGCTTCAAATTCTGCACACTGATCCTATAGACCACAGAACCACAAGTACAGAGAAAAGGGTCCAAAACCACTGCTTTTCCAGGCTGTAGCTTGAACATGAGCTACTAGCAATTAAATTTAGAAGCAGGCTGCTCCCTCCCTGAATCCCCCCTCCCCTCCTACAGCCAGCTCTGCAGACATGGACAGACTCACACCACCCCTCCTAGCATTCTCCACAGATGGTGAGAACAGAGCTGACTTTCTCACTTTGGAGCACCTCTTGGAGGCCAAGCTCAGCCACACGAGGACCACCTGCCTCGCTGAGCTATTGGGGATTACATGAGCGTGTGAAAGTTGTAACTGTAATAAATAAAACTGAAGATGCAGCAGTCAGGCAAAATGTTCCTGACTGGGGGCTGCAGGCATGCTTTTCCCATAAAGGGCCAGATAGTGTGTTCTGGCCTGGCTGGCCACATTTGGTTTCTGCCAGTCTTTGCTTTTGTTTTTATAATCCTCTAAAAATGTAAACACTGTCTTAGCTCGCTGGCTGTACAAAAGCAGGCTGTGGGCAGGAGTGTGCGCCTGCGAGGGGCCAAAGTGGGAGGAGGTTCAGTGACACAGCAAACTCAGACAGCTGGAAAAGATCCAGGCCTGGACTTTCTCTTCCCCAGTGGGAGCTGACTGCCAGGTTTACGCTGGCAAAGCAAACCTGGGCTTCCTGCTTGAGCTGAGTTCTGAGAGCTCTCAGGAGTGGCTCAGGGACCATGGCTGTGATGGGAAGGGAACCACTATCCACACATTTGAATCAGTGACAGGGGCCTAGTGGGCACTGCTGCTCAAGTGCTGGGGAAACAAAAAGTTCTTTTTAACATCACACGGGCTTGCTGGTGGCTGGGATCACTGGAAATGAGTCTAAACGAAACAAGCCCTAGTATCCTGTGTGCTGACTCTGAAGGGGCACTGAGAAAGGCTGGGACTCAAGATAAGTGCAGGCTGCCCATCCTGTCCATGCCTCCCTCCCCCCTGCCCTGGACATATGGAACTTTGCCAGTGGAGTCTGCCACTTCCTACAAGGGATTCTTACCTTGCCTGAGCTTTGGTTCCCTACTTGGAATGTGGGGATGTGGCTATGTCTCCCTGGCAGAAGTGGGTGGTGAGGAGCTCAGCGATAGAACAGCATAATGGCTGCTTGGCACACAGAGCAGCAATGCTCAGCTCCTGGTTATGACAAATGCTTATGGCTCACAATTGGCTCAGTGACACTCCAAGCCATCGCTTCCAAGCTGAGGTCATGAGGCCAGGGTCTGGAAGTTAAGTCCTTGATACAGGCAACCCGGACTGAGGACCCACAGAGCAGGTTAAGAGGGTCTCATCCTGGGCGTGGTGGCATACGCCTTCAATCCCACCACTTGGGAGGCTGAGGCGAGGGGATTCACCATGAATTTGAAGCCAGCCTGAGCTACATGGTGAACTGCAAGGCCAGCCTGAGCTATATAGCAAGATCCTGTCTTAAAAAAACCAAGAACAACAGTGAGGGCCCCAAGTCCAGGATTTAGGGTAGGCTGAGACTATTTTGCAGTACTGGGGATGGAACCTAGGGCCTTTGCCCTGAGCTATATCCCCAGTACTTCTTTAGTTTTTAAAATTTTGAGACAGGGTCTTTGTAAATTGCTTGAACTTGTGATCTTTGTTTCTGCCTCCTGGAGTGCTGAGATGACACACACTACCATGCCTGGTGAGACACACACATTCCTGCAGTGCTTTAAGGCCAGTGCCTGGGGTCAAATCTGCTAATGGACACGGGTGTCACTGGCTTGCCATCAGATCCCCCTCTTAGGGTCTGTAGAGGTGACATCACAGGATGTGGGCCCGAGGAACTGATCAAAAACACTGGTGAAGGTGAGAGGTGCAGAAAGAGGATACAACTAGTACTCTGGTGTTCTGCAGCTCTGGGAAATGATGCAAGACTTGGCTTCTTTGTCCTGACCCTGCAGCTAGTTTTAGTCTCCTAGTGTTCCATGTGGGTCCCTGCTGGGCAAGCTGATCTCAGACTCTTGTCTCAGTGTTGGCCTCCCATTTTCCCACCTGTTCCTAACAGTGGCCCTAGCACACCCTCAGCCCACATCTGGTCCCATGACTCCAGGACCCTTCCCATACCAAAGGCCTTCCATGGAGGCCTCCACGCTTGTGGAGACTGTCCTCTTCCTAAATGACGGGGACTTACAGAGGGCCAGCCTCTTGCCAGCATCTGTAGATGACCATCCCCCTCACCCTATGATGGCAGTCTCCCTCAGACATGAACAGCCTCTTTGGTCAGATGGTTCCATTACTCCTTAAATCTGAGCACATATGGCTGTGACCCATGATCTGCGCCAGGTTTCCCCCACACAGCAGGGGTTCCCCTGGAGTTTACTCAATGAAGGGACTCACCCTGACACTGCAGCCAAAAGCTGTGTTTTGCCTTGTGGTGCGAGTTACACACAGCCACATGGGCCATGCCCCACAGTTAATCCCTAAGCTGTGGCCATTCTTCAGCTTCTGCAAGGATAGTTCCAACATCACTGCCTGTGACTGGCTGGTGATGCATGTAAATTTCCTGAGTCGTGACTTCTAACTTTATTTACTGTGGCTGGAGAACCTACCTTGTATGGATATGTGTGCCTAAGAGGAACATACATCCTACTATGGCTGCTGGTGGCAGCAGCTGCCTGTGTGACTACTTTCTATGCCATTCAAGTCCTGTTTCCTTTACGGATCTGCTGTCATGCTGTCAATTACGAATAGGAGGGTGCTGATGTCAGCTCTCATGCTGAAGTGACTGTGTCTGCCTTCAGTTCCATCGGTTTTTGCCCTGCATACTCAGACTCTGACACTGCATGTTTCTCAGGGACCCATCTTCATGAGCACTTGGTGAGTGCTATGGAACCAGGCTCCACAGCAGGGAGGCCCAGTCGCAAGCCGAGGCTGCTGGGCTTCAGCCCAGCCTCTTGAGGTGTGTGCACGGCTCTGGCACAAGCTGGGGAATAGACATGCTACACCATTCTGGATTCCATCCTCCTCTGTACCCACCATGTCTCAGTTCCAGCTCCTGCATACATCCTCCTGGTCCCACCTCCATGGCACCACCATGGCCAGCGCTGGTGTCTCAACCAACCCTGCTGAAGGTTTGCTGTTTACAGCACCCGTCTGCAGCCCTTGGTGGCCTCCTGCATTGACTGCTTCTGCTCGCCACAATGGCCTCCCTTCTATTTTCTAAAGAAGTTGGCTCTGTTTTCTCTCCTATGCCTTGGGGAAAGACACCGTCCTTCGGGGTCTTCAGGCTGAGGCCATCCAGTTTTGTCCTAGCACAGGTGGAAATGACACATCCATCTGGTATCCTGTCTCCGGCTCTGACAAAGTTCTGATCCCCAACACCCAGGGTTCTGGGCACAAAAGACACTTGGAAAGGATTTGTAGCACCAATTGGAGTTTGTGTCTTCCACTTATCCCCTTTAATGACCCCCCAAAAAAGTGGCCAGATAAAGACTCTAGATGCTCCTAGGCCTGATCTCAGATGTCCTTAAAATGTGTGTCATATTTCCTCCGAGAACTGGCCTATGTGAGGTGGATGCCTCTCAGTTCTGGCAGATGACACAGAACCACCTTCTTGGGAACCTTCCAGGCGCTGCCAAAACCTCCCCGGAGGAAGCTGCTGCCAGACACTCCTCAGTCAGCACCAAAAGAAGAAAGCAAGGAGATGGAACCTAAGACACCCTGCCTGCTGCCTCCAGCTAACGCTGCCTCACCTGGACATCTCTGTGGCTGCCTAGAGACACCGCCTGTGTCCCTTCCACCACCTGGTCCCCCTACCTTTCAACTCTGTTGGACAAGGGCTTCTCTTTCAGAAGGCTGAGTTTGTTGTCCCTTGGCCTATGTCACCTTCTCCAAGGCAGGAAAGACACCAGGAGGAATACCTGACCCTGGTCTAGGGTCAGGAGCTCCCTTCCACCGCCCTAGCCCTGATCCCAGCCAACTTCCACTTCCTATAGACCTCCTGGGTCAAGGAAGCGGACTCACAGAACCCATCTGGAACAGTGCCTGGGATGCACATAGGCTGGCCTGGCCTCAGCTCTGTAGCCCATGGCTCAGCAGCTACGGAGATGGACCTTGTGGGGAAGATTTGAAGAGTACATTCTTGGAATATATCCTGGGGAGTTCCCAAACTTGGCTAGCATTTTGAGACATAGCACTCCAGGATGGCATTCTTGAACACAGGGTCATCTTTGCCTTTTTGGGGCACAGTGGTAATCATACCAGGAAGCAAAGGAGAAAGAAGACTCAAGAGTTTCCTTCCACTTATTTCTGACACCAGGAGGAATACCTGAAGCAGACGGGGTAACAGCGGAACAGCCCCCACATGCCATTTGCAGTCCAGGCTAAGCTGACTACACACCCCAGGACAGGCTGTCAGTCCTCTGGCCAGGAAGACACAGGTACCACTGAGTCCCTGTCACCCAGCACAAGAGGGGTACCTGGTATCTAATACACTCTGTCTAAAGGACAAAATGGGAAACAATGTGATTGAACATCAAGAATTGTTCCTTTCATGAACACAGCTCTTGTGAGGCTACGAGATATGGCCTTGGGGAGGACAAAAGAACAGGCCAGGGTGGCCTAGAGAAGGGGACGGAGCTGGAAGCTGCTGTCAGAAGCTGAGGAATAGGCAGTGAGCAGGAATGAAGGGCACTGTCTTCCTGACTCCCTGGAAAAGGCCAAAAAGCACAGCCAGGCCAGATAACCTTTTCCAAGAAGCAGCAGCTACCACTGGGCCTGACAGCCTTGGCGGATCCCATGTGGACTGACCAGCTAGAAGGCTGCTGGGGTCCTGTGGCTGTGGGAGAATAGTCTCAGATGGAAAGCAGACTTCGGGCCACTTCAGTGCTGTTTATTCTGTCACCAGGGCAACCAGCTCAGAACTGCTTATGGAAGAGGCTGCCCCTAGAAACGTGTAGAGGCCACCTCCAGTGTGCTGGGGGCAGTGAGGGTCAGGTCCCATGTGGGAGCTGGAGATGAGCAGCAGCTGTTCGGCCAGAGGGTTCATTCCTGGCCCTTCCAAAGCTTCCTGGTGGGTCCAATAAACACACTTGGAGCTCGGCAGCCCCCTGGCGTGGAGTTCAGTCTTGCATGGTGCCAGTAGGCGTGGAAGAATCCCAGTGCCATATTCTTTCTTGGCATCAGACAGAGAACTTGATCCGCCTGTGGTCTGTTTTAGGCTGTCTTCTGAGAGTCATGAAATCTGATGTTTAGAGACCTTTTCCTGGTACAGTGTCCACCATTAGTCAGCGCTCTGATTAGGCTGAAAGTCAGTAAAGGGCCCTTTGTAAGGAAGCGCCAATTTGTTATAAAGAATGCTTGGCTTTACATTCCCCCAGGGATCACGGAACAGAGAACAGGCCCAGAATGATGGATGAGACCTGCTGGAGTGCGATGCGCTGTTTCCTGAGCTCCAACGTGGGGCAGAGCAAAATTTAAATCTGTTGGGGTACAAAAGAAACAATGCGAGTTCACCAGAGAAAAGCCTCGGCCCATGAACTGGTGGGACTGGGTTCTACCTCACTTGATTTATGGCTTAATTGACCTATAAGAAAATTGAGTTTGCCTGCAACATGCCTAATCAGTAGAGAAAGCCAATCAATGGGAGCCATTAGCAACCAGTTTCTCCATGGACAGCCCAAGGCACTGAGCCTGTGGCTCACAGCTGTCACTAAGTGGTACGGTAAGTGATGTTCCTGGGTGTCTCCTAACAGTTGGGTGTACATACACTACACACCTGGCCTCCAGGGCTACACTGATGCCATCTGCAACCTGTTCCCCAGAGTTCTGCAGCATGGGGTATGCTCTGAGATACCTTAACTAGGTCCGAGGCTCCCTGCCAGTATGTTCCCTTCTCTGCTGTCAGCGTGGGGACTGCTTGCATTTCCCAGGATTAGAGGCTCTTGACGGAAGTCCATATGAATCAAGAAGTTGGTGTCCTCAGACACAGACCACTGCCTGGGGTGGCCAGGCCTCAGGTGAGGCCAACTTCCTGTGGGGCTTCTGTCAGCAGTGCTGGGGCCTGTGTGCTGGGGGAGGGCAGCTACCTGTCACAGAAGTTCCACAACAGACCTGCTGGCTACTTTTGTGGAGGCTTTCCTGCTGCCACCCAGCCCTTCACTGTGCTCTCAAAGACTAAAGGCTGGATTACTCCCCCCGCCTGACTCAGAAGCTCTCAGGAGCTACTCTAACTTCTTACCTAGCTCCTTAGCTTGAGCCCACTTCCCATCATATATTTATTCCTTTAAAATGCAACAGGACTCCCCAAAAGTCCTAGGGCTTGGTGGCCACGACTGAACCTTGATAGTTTCCTTAAACACAGGAAAGAATTGTTCAGGTCTGGGAAGTCTGGGACTGTGCTGAAGGAATAGGGAGGCCCTCTGTTTCCTCGTCATGAGGGCTGTTCTCTGTCAGCCAGTGGCAGTCTTCTGTCACTAGACACCAAGTGGATGAAGTTTCAATCCTGAACTCAGGATGTTTTCCTTTTGTCAGGCTTCAAAAATCTGAGATGCTTCTTGTTCATCAGAGTTGGCCATCTTCTCCTTGTACATCTCCAACAGCCTTCATTACACACAGAAGAGTATCAGGGGGCCCCTTCCACACCCAGAGGCTCTTCTCTTCTTCCTGCTGCAGCTGAAAAGACCACCCAGAAACCCACAACCAGCCTGGCTAGCACTCTGGCTCCATCACCCTTCTAAGATCAAGAAACTAAGAGTTCCCTGGATGTCTAAGGCACTAATGCAAATGCCCAAGATTAGGGAAGGGAGAAAAAACCCAAGAGGGAGTGATGTGTAAGGCTCTACCTGTTACCCAATTCCTCTTCTGATACTTCATGTCTCTGAGGAAACTACCTCACTCTTGCTATGGGTACAGGGTCCCTGCTTAAAAAGCCTCAGAGCATCAGTTAGGTGAGCTGAAGAAACCTCTGTCCTCTCTTATCATCAGGGGTTTATGATGACCTAGGGACCCAGGGAAGGGGCTACCCTGGAGGTCCCCTGGGCAGCCGGCGTGCCAGGTGCTGCAGACTTACCCCTGACAGTTTTCGCAGAAAAGAAGGCTGGGCTTCAGGAGCGGGAGGTGGAAGAGTGCTGGCTGAAGTGCTAGCGGGGACAGGAGGTTCTAGGGCACGCTGGCCAGCTGACTCGGGGTGACCCATGCCATGGTGGGGAGCCTCAGCCTCCCCTTGAGGCTCCTCTCCTGAATCCGACAAGTTTTTTTGCTCTGCAGAGGACTGGGAGCAAAAAAGACAATTTTCCTTCAATGTAAAGAAAAGCTGCACCACAGGGCAGGGGAGGGCTGGGATGGGCAGGGGCAGGGGCATTGGAGATGGTCTGACACCAAGGAGGATGGGCTAAAGAGCCAGCATGTGTCCATTGTGCTCTGAGTGACAAATCTGGCAGTCAGCACAGGGAAAATGAAACCAGACCCAGTGCTTGATTTTTCAAGGGGCTCTGAGTTGTCTAGGAAGTCTGGACCCTGGGTTTCAAAACACTGGGGCGTCTGGGCATGCAAATGTTCTGTTTATGGGCCCTAAGGGAGGAAAAGTTCTCTTGGTAAGGAAAGGAGACAAGCTAAAAACTCTTAAAACTGGGTGGAGCAGCGAGGGTGGGAGTGGGGTGGGGTTGGGACCCATACATCATGGGCCTTGTAGCTCACTGCTTTCTTCCTGTTACACCTGAGGGGACATCGTGCCTTCTGGCCTGATTAGGGAAGAGTACCAGGGAAGAGTACCACTCATAGAGGGGCCAGCACATACACTGAGCCCCTTGGATCTGGGATTCTCCCAGGTTCACCCCCTCAAAACCCAGGAAAGAGTTTATGGGAGTTATGGGGAAAAATGCCAAGAGAAGGCTGCTTCTGGAAATCCTTACCCCCAAGATCCAACACCCTATGTCTCGAAGTGGTCTTGGGATTCTTTCTTGAGCTGAGGGCTCTGTCCCCATTATGCCAAGACTCTCTTCTAGAGAAATGGCTTATACACCTGGTGTCCTGACAGAGGGCTTGGTCCCACCTCCCATGTGGCACTGTCCAAAATGCAGAGCTGTTTCTCTCACCTGGTGATAAAAGTGACCACAGGCTGCCCTGTCTCTTTGCTGGTGTGGCTTCCTACCTTCTAGGTATGAAGTGACTCCCTCTCTAGAAAGGATACGGCTGATGTTTTGTTGTGTTTTGTTTTAGACAGGCTCTTACCATGTTGCCTAGAATGGGCTTGAACTGCTGGGCTCAAGAGATCCTCCTGAGTAGCTGAGACTAGAAGAGCATGGTCATGGCACCTGGCATGGGGACTACTTTTTATGTGTATGACTTTGTAGAAGGAAATCATCTATTTAAAGAGGATTTAACAGAACTTCCAAAAATTCTTAGGAAAGCCAAAGCAACCCAATGTTAACTCATTCTTGTGTCTCAAGAGTGATCAAAGGAGCACTGTCAACTCCTTCTATGCAGGGGACATCCAGGGAAGCAGAGCCCTTCTGAGGGGCATGATGGTTAATCCAGCCACCAGGAAAAATTGAACCTAGACCTCTATGGACAACTGCCTGTCTCTAACAAGAACCATTGGCTTTTTTTTTTTTTAAACTTTTGCTTATACTCAATGACTGGCTTGCAAGTCAAACCAAAGGAGGTGTCCCAAAATGAGACTAAACTCTTTATTTTTGGTTAAAAATGAATATTTCTTGAAAAGTGTTGAGAAATAGTGTTACTTCTCTCAGGGATTTGAGCAGAATTTCTTAGGACAATTAACAAAATACCTTTCCATCACCTTCCAACCTCAGTCCTAGCATTTCTTTTTCTTTTTTTGCAGTACTGGGGATTGAACTCAGGACCTTGTGCTTGCCAGGCAGGCACTTAAGCCGCTGAGCTATCTCCCCAGCCCCCATTTTTTTTTTTTTTTTTTTTTGTCCTAGCATTTCTCCCAAGCAAGGATTGGGTGCCAAACCTTCCACATAATCCTAAAATGTACCTGACTAACTAAATACAAGTGGTAAGCCTGTCACCCCAATGAAGTATCAAAGTCAGATTCAGACATACTGAGACAGCATTTTCAGCAACACCATGGTTTTTGCTACACAACCTTTCTGCAACTGCTCTGTTTACCAAATGCACCCATCCTTGCCATGGTGACCTTGAAACCCCTCTATGACATTAAGAAATGCTCCAGGCATAGCACCCCCCAGGGTGTGCTGAGACAGTGATTGAGATTACCTGTAATCCCAGCACTTGGGAGGCTGAAAACAGGAGGGTCACTATGAGTCTGATCTACGTAGTAAGACCCTGTCATTTATATATATATATATATATATATATATATATATATATATATATATATATATATTCCAAGGCACCTGCCTGGCAAGCATAAGGTTCTGAGTTTAATCCCTTTTACAAAAAAAAAAAAAAAAAAAGCAAAGCTCCAAAGGGAGACCACTAAAAGCAGTACTCAGTCACCAGAAACCATGAAAGAGCCCATGTAAAGAAGCTTAAGCTCACTTCATATCTCAGAGATAAGGAAGAAACACCTCCATTCAAGGTGGTCTGGAAAGAAAGGCTCCCTCCCACCCCTACACACTGCCATGTATACAAGCCCACATTTCAGGGAAGTAAGTAAAACCCTGGTGCTACTGGACCAGTGCCAGGATTGGAATAAAAATTACTCGCTATTTTTTCTAACATGGAACAGACAAGAATCTAGTAACTCATCCAAGGATAAGTGATGCCACCTGTTGGCCTCCAGAGGGCATTCTGGGTGGCTCTGGCATTGATCGAAAACAGAAACTCCTGGGCTGGCAGCTTACCTTTTTTTTTTTTTTCTATTTTAAATCCTGATCTCAGGCACAAGTCAGCAGTGGGCTCTTTTGTATGTCTCCAACTGGTTGGTTTGAGACCATTTAGCAGCTCTCACAGTGGACAATGGGAATTCTTAATTTTTAGGAATCAGAAAATTAAGAAAATTGCCATAAGGACGTTAAAGAGACAATTTTTAAAATGTAGTCTATATATTTAAGAATACTTAAAAAAAGAATATTACTGAATTCATGATTATTTGCTTAGGAGTGCATGGTCCAGCGGCCATGAGAGCCCTACAGCTCAAAGACACCTGTGGAAGAATTCGAGGGAAATGCCACATGGGCACAGTATACAGCTAAGGCAATGACTTATACGGTGAAGTCAGATGAAAGGTACCTGAGTGTTCTCAGTGCTCTGTTGCCTTTTTCCAGTATTTGACAACTTTTACAATAAAATGTTAAAATGTACAAATAATGACAAAAAAAAAAATGTGGAGAAAAAAAGAACCTGCTAAAGCACCTGCTCTCCCCTTCTCCCAGCCCAGTGTACTCTCCAGGCTGGCTTCCTTGGTTAGAAGGCAATGGGCTGAGGGTCTGTCTGTCTTGTTTCTGACAGAAACTGTGGCTAAGTCAGGTGTGGTGGCGCCCTCTAGAGGCTGATTTATGAAACTCACCACAAGTTCGAGGCCAGCGTGGAATACACAGCAAGACCTTGTCTCAAAAAATCCAAAAAGCACTCTTCCTGTGTGTGGCCTGAGGTGATCTGTGAAAATGGTTCGCTACTCTCTTGGCCCAGAAAACCCCACAAAATCATGCAAATCAAAAGGCTCAAATCTTCGCGTTCACTTTAAGAACACATGCGAAACTGCCCAGGCCATCAAGGGTATGCATATCCGAAAGGCCACGAGTATTTGAAGGATGTCACATTAAAGAAGCAATGTGTGCCATTCCCATGTTACAGTGGTGGAGTTGGTAGGTGTGCCCAGGCCAAACAGTGAGACTGGATGCAGGGTTGGTGGCCCAAGAGTGCTGAATTTTTACTGCATATGCTTAAAAATGCAGAGTAATTAATGCTGAACTTAAGGGTTTAGATGGAGATTCTCTGGTTATTGACCATATCCAGGTGAACAAAGCACCCAAGATGTGCCGCTGTACTTACAGAGCTCACAACTGGATTAACGCATCCATGAGCTTCCCCTGCCACTCTGAGATGAGTCTTACTTTCGAAAAGGAACAAATTGTTCCTAAACCAGAGGAGGAAGTTGCACAGAAGAAAAAGATATCCCAGAAGAAACAGAAGAAAAATTAGGCATAAAATAAATAATTTTTTTTAAAAAAGGCAAAATAGAACAAATACCCTTTCCAAAAAAAGCAAAAAACAAAACAACCCCCCCCAACCCATTGTGGCTGTTCCTTACAAGCTTTCCATGGCCCTTGTACTAACTAGGAATCCAAAGAGACCAGACCAGGCCTGACATGCTTGCCTGCTGCCTTGCTGAGCACATAAGCAGCAGGGAAGGAAGGACAGACTGCATCCTTGTGGGCACACGAGCCCAAACAAGGGCTTGTGCCTCTGCCCTCCCACACAGGGTCGACGCTGTGTGCCCTTCAGATCTTGCTGCAGAAGCTCACAAAAGCAGACGCTGAGCTCTTAAGTTCTAGAGGGCAGTTATTTTTAGAAATCTACTTGGAACTGGCTCCAGTCAATACTCTGATAAAACCACTTGCACATTTCTTTTCTTTGGTTTTGGTTTCTTGGAGACAGGGTGTCACTGTAGCCAGGCTAGCCTCAAATTTGCAGCAGTCTCCCCACTTCAGCCTCCCAAGTGCTGAGATTACAGGTGTGTGTTATCCCATCTGGTGACCTGCACATCTCTTAAGTGACTGGGAAGCCTTTCTAGTTACTGTTTGGGTTTGGGTTCAAGGCCAACCCTTAAAGATAATTTGCATTAACCTCTTGAAGGTCTTCCTATTTTCCAGCCAAATCCTTTTACCTGTGAAAACAATCCCAACACAGGAACTAGTGATTTTTAAAACATTTTAAATTCATCTGAACAAATGTTACATTTTAGTTTCAACTTGCTGGCTGTCTTAAAGTCTTAAGATTTTCTTTTTAAATTTTATTTTCCAGGTTTAACGAATCAACTCTTTCAGTTGGCAAACTTTTTTTTTCCTCTTGTAAACGGTCAGAAAGACACTCAAGAGGGCTGGGAAAACAGCTCAACAGACTAAGCACCCGCTTTGGCAAGCGCAAGAACCAGGGTTCAATCCCTGGTCCCACATGCTGCACTGGCCCTGCCTCCAGGGATCGCCAAGTTGGCAACAAAGTCCGGGTGTAGTAGCGCATGCTTGTAACCCCAGTGCTGGAGAAGCTGAAAACAAGAGGATCACTACGAGTCCAAGCTGCGTAGTGAGACCCTGTACCAAATACTATGAATAAATAAATAAATAAATAACACTCATCGTCCTTTTTGCTCTTAGTGCATGGCACTGCATGTCGTAATACACCCCAATTCTAACTACCTCGCACTCTATAGGCAGTGTGGTCTCTGTTCATACTCTGCTGCTGAGAAGGGAAAGTATTCCAATACTATTGTTTTATAAAAAATAAAATAAAATAAAGGGCTGGCCAAATAGCTCAGCAGACTAAGGTGCCTACTTAGGCAAAGCTCAGTGGCCAGGGTGCTGGTCCCAACCCCAGGGCGCGCTGAAATGGCAATTGAGACTGGATGTGGCGGCACGCACCTGTAATCCCAGCACTTGGGAGGCTGAAAACAGGAGAAGCACCACTAGTTGGATCTACATAATGAGACCCTGTATACACTGTACTAAATATATATTTTTTTAACATTAAAAAAAAAGATAAAATTAAAAAAAACAGGTGATGGTGGGGGCATCACTTAGTTTGCTGACCTTTGTTTTAAACTAAAACTGGTCCAAATGATTATCATAATGAAATCCAAAATTCTAAAAAGGTCCCTATTTGACTGAACAGGGGAGATAGCTCAGTAGAATAAGCGCTTGCTTGGCAAACACAAGGGCCTGAGTTCAATCCCCGGCTCCTAAAAAAAAAAAAAAAAAAAAAAAATTTATTTGGGGCCAGGGAGATGGCTCAGTGGAGTAAGTGCTTCCCTGGCAAGCGCAAGGGCCTGAGTTCAATCCCTGGTTCCACCAAAAAACTAAAACAAAACAAAAAACAATTTTACTGAACATCAAAGAGAAATGACCCGGCTACCTAAAACACATCCAATGCTTAAGACTATTTAATAATTTCATTTTACAAACTAGAGCTTCTTGCCACTGATCGGCCTTCTAAAGGACAAACACTAAGAACATGTGGCTTTCAGCCATGTTGTCAGGACTCAGGAGAGACAGGACTATGACATGGGAACCGCTTCTAGGTTAAACAGGCTAGAAGAAAGTGCCTCTTTTTTTCTTCTCTTTTCTTTCAGTACCGAGGATCAAACTCAGGACCCTGCACTTGCCAGGCAAGTGCTTAGGCTGCTGAGCTATATCCCTAGCCTGAAAGCACCTTTTTCTTCAGCAGAACAATTAGCAACAGGAAAATCTAACAGAGAAGAGGCTAAACAGTTGAAAGTTATAGAGCTAACAGATGTTGGCTCAGGCAAGCACAGAAGTACATGTGGGGTGGGGGTCATCAGCCAGTACCCTCCTGTCCCCTGCACACACACACACACACACACACACACACACACACACACACACACACGTCCTTGCCCTCCCCTCCCTCCTATCCTTTCCTGGCAGATCACTGGAATACTGCTTGGGAAAATCCGGCCACCCAATGAGAAAGAAGCCTTGGCTTCTCTTCTCAGACCAAGGGGCAGGATCTAAGAATAGCGGCTGAGCTGCTAGGATCACCAGACCAACAGCAGCTCCCACACTGGGAGTGGGACCCCTAAGAGGCCTGGGAATCCACCAAACACCACGCAGATGAGATGTTCAAACCCCCATCATTCTTGACATGATGCAAATATCCCTCAGAATTTCTGATTTAGTGCTTTGTAGCTATAAAATATTCTAAAAGGTATTAAATCACAACTGCTGTCATGTCAAGAGACAGTGGCAAGGGACCCTACACATCTGAGAGTCATCAAGAGCCACAAGAGCTAGTCATTACTGCCTCATGGCACCAAATGACTCCTGACAACCCTGGCTTCCAGGGAGGAGTATAAGGCAATGGCTCACGACAAACAGCAGCATCTGCAGTCGCAGTCGTATGCCAGGACCTGCTGCTCATTTCTCACTGCTTACCACACCAGGACCTCCCCAGGACAGCACACACTGGACACAGACATGAGAATCCAAGAGCAATGGGACATACATCATGCACACAGACTCATCATTCTGAATGTGTCAATGTCACGCTGGGAGGGGCTGCTTATCCCCCTAACGTGGCGATAAGATGGAGCACACTGAGCTCACTCCAGATACCCTAGATAGCTTCATAGGTCCTGTTTTCCCTTCTCACTGTTCTTCCTTCCTTTCTTTTCCCTTCCTCTCTTGCTTGTCAACTTCTCTTCCTACTCTGTTCCCCCTGCTGTGATTTTCCTAACACACAGTGGCATTTCTAAAACAACAGGGCATTCAGAAGAAGTCACAACCCTTTCCAAAGCTATGTGCTCTTGAGGCCTTTCCAGGGAAACCCAAGCCACTCTGTCTTTCCCTCCCAGCTCCAAGTAAAGGCTTGGGCCTCCCCCTCGGTGGGCAGCAGCTGTCCTGGCCAAGTGACCTGGAGAACAAGCTCTCTGGGAGAGAGCAAATCAGAGAAATGGTGTGAGGAGAGAACATACCAGCCCCTTACCTTTTGTCCTTTATCCTTCTGAAACACAAAGACGGGCCGAGCAATGGCAGGCTTTTCTGAAAAAAGAAAAATTAGTTTTTTTCCCCCCAACACTATGTTCACACAACAAACTAATTTGTTTGTAAGAAGTTAAATAGACAGATAGATAGATACAGACAAACAGATACTAGTGATTTCACAGAACATCACACCACTTACAATAACTTCTTCCTGGGGATGTGGATGTGTGGGTATGATCAACTGGGGAGAACACAGCACTGAATATATAACCTGTGCCCCTTTCTGTATGTAAATCTTATAGTCAGCAAATTCTGTTAACAGTCCCTGAGGACAGGCATGTACAGGAGAGCTATATAAAGTGCTGGGCAGCCACTCTCCCACTTCATATGGTATCTCCTGAACCTCAGTGGTTGAAGACTTATTTAGTTTTTATCCATTTTTTAAGTTTGCAGCCTCTGGCAATGGACTCATCTGTCTAGCGGGGCCACTCAAGTCATGCCCACATCAGGTCTGGGTCTCCACAGCAGATGAAAGAAAGGATCTGCAGAGCTGATAGGTCTGAGAGTCTACCTTGTAAGGTGCTGCTGAAGAAACAAACACTTTGGGATACTTGGCCACCTGACAAGAGCAATGCCACATGACATTATGTCTCCCATCTAGGCCCACAGCCTCTGGCCACTCAGGTTTGCTTAGAAAGTCCCTGCTGCTGCTTTGGTGCATGCTGACAGGGATTACTTTGACCCCACAGGAGAAATCTAGCTCCTGTAGCCAGCTGGCCTCAGCCTGGATACAAACCAAAGACCTCTGTGAGTGGGAGGCACTCAGGGTCTCCCTTACCATGCATTCATGTCACCGAGGGAGAGTATGGTGTGGGCTGTGGCACAGGAGTTGCTAATCTGGTGAATATAGTGTGCCCTAGTGTGTCTGAGGGGCAGGCAGGTTCAGGTCCAGCCATGCTCGCCTGTAGACTGGGGCCCTGTCCTTGGTGGCATCTGACTCCAGCATGCATAAGTACAGCATTACCACACAGCAGTGCTTACACAGGGTGCTGGTGTCAGTGGAAACCCCTGAGAGGGCTTGAGACGAGCTGGAAGGGACAACAGCAGGCTCAGGGACACAGGGCTGAGGGTGATGGAGTGGGGGTATAGGCAGGCTCAGTATCTGGGAAGTACTGTTTCAAATAAAAGAGATATTTTTAAAAAAGGGAGGAGGAGGAGACTGGAGATGTGGTGTGGTGACTGATCTCTTGGGAGAAAGACAGGCCTGGGAGGTCTGAGGAGAGGAAGGGACAATGCTAAGGCAACCGAACAAACTGCTCCCCGCGGGCACATATCACAGACAAGCAGCCCACTGGTGATGACATTCCTGTCACCATGTCCCTGTAGCCCCACTGTAAGAGTCCACTTATGTCTGACTCAGCACACACCGCCAGAAGCAAATGACATGAGGAAGGATCTCTACAAGGCTTCCCTTCCCCACTTCCCTAAGCCACCATCTCCCTGGACATACTTGAAGGAATAAATGAATAAACAAATGAATGAGCCTTTGCAGCAAAATAATGATGTCAAGCAAGCATTAGAGGGACTCTGGGGCTAGAACAGAGCTGATCTGTACCAGGTCTGTAGCAGGGGATCTTGATACTCCAGCCCAGCCATACTTTTGCATTCCTCTTTAGCACTGTGCTACACAGAAAGGAACAAGGGTTTCAGCCAGCTTAGTATCCTCTCACCCTCATCTTCTTTAGGGAAGCAGAACCTCCTCCAGCCCACCCTTGGCCCAACTCCAGGCCTGACAAGGACAGTACTGTCTGCCCTGAGCAACTGGCACATGAATGCGGTCAGGCCTTTCTTTAGGAGCTACCAGGGAAGAGGATACTCTTTCTGTGGGGGGCTGCTGAGCTGATGATATAAAATCCAGAAGTTACCAGAAGCCAAATGTAACCACCAGGGGCCTCAGACCAGGGCCACCCAGACAGAAGCAGAGCTGAGGACAGACAGGGAAGGCTGAGCCCTGGTGATACTAGTGCAGGCCTTCAGCTGGGCTTGCCTAGAGCTAACCTTGGCCCAGTCAGCCCACATGGTGACTTTTGTAATCATTCATGGCTTTTGCTAGTGTCCACCCAGGTCATGAACACATTATGGCCTGGCAGGAGTGCTCAAGCTGCTGCAGACTCCAGGACACTCAGGGACCCTGTGGGAGAAACTGGACTAGCCTTACAGTTTAGTCAAAATAGTTTCTTTTTCTCCAAAGCAAGTACAGCCACCTTACTTACTATGTGTTGATAGGTTTAGGTCTGCCTCCCCAGAAGATCAGAAACTGCTTTTCCCCTCAGCATCACATAGCCCAAGCACTTGGCACACTGTGGGGAATCAACAAATATCTGAAGGGATAAATGGGGGGAAGGCACAGAGATGGGACAGGCAGACAACCCTCAGGACCACACAGCAGAGTATCGGTTGGGAGAGGATGCACTGAAGCAGGGACAACTCTGATTTCTGACAGAGGAGTGCTCTGGAAAGAGACCTAGGGTCGAACTCTGAAAGCTGCCAGCCAGGTGACATCCAGTCAAATCCTCCCAAATTACCTCCAGGCTCTGGTCCTAGTCCCCAGCTTAGGTACCATCCGGACCTTCTTACTTTCTCTACCTCTTCTCTCACCCCCTAGAGCAGAGTCCTCCCCAGAGCAGACAGAACCACTGTGGGAAATGTATACTTAAAAGTTTGATGTCCTCCTACTGACCAGGGTCTGGGCTCCCTTAGACAAGCCACTCTTACCACTGCCCCCACCTACCACTGAATACTACCACAGTACTGAATAGTCTGTTGCCCCTGCATGCCCTGGACTATGGCACACTTCTGCACTCTTGCACATGGTCACTGTCTCTTCTGGAGCCAACACTATTTCCTGTACAGACATGGCCTCCTTCAAGAAGCTCCTGGGCTGACTACACAGCTGCCCACTGTACTCCTTCCTGAGCAGGCCTCGCCTTACATCCTGCCACAGGTCATTTGGGGCCACTTCCAGGGAGGATGAGAGACCAGTCTCTGAACAGGTTGTGCCCAGCATGTCCACTGGTACCCAGCACCTAAAAGTCATCTACTCTTGTTTATTTCACATACACACTGCCAGCTGCTATGTGAGCATGTATTTAGCCCTTATTCTGTGCCAGGCACCACAGCAAAAATGAACAGGAAGCTGAGAGCAGAAGTCTTGGGGCAAAACATGTGATTAAGGTGGAGGTGTCTGCACTTGGCAGTCTTGGCTGTGGAGCCTGGGAACTCTGGGACAGGTCTGTCTGGGGTTCATCTACTGTTGGTGGCACCTATTCCAGATGGAAGTGCACAAGTCTAGGCCTTGTCTGTTCTGTTTCCCTCCGTACTCTCAGTGCCAAACACAAAGTCAAACACAAGCACTCAAAAAGCAGTTGTAGTGAATGCAGTGTTGAATATCACCATGCCTGAAATCTGGTGAGGCAGTGAGGGTCCCCCTGAGGGACACAACCAACAGAGATGATGGCTACCACCCCAGCCACGGAGCCCTGCTGATGGGAGTTGGCATTCATGCTAACCCCCCAACACTGTACCAGCTGAATGCCAAAAGGAACTGCAGTCACATCTCTGCTGAAAATACAAAGTACAGATGCGCATGTATACTGCACTTTTGCTTTGGCTTGGAATGTTGAGCTTGTGAACTCCTAGAAAGACCACATTCATAAATCCTGGCTCAAGGAGGGCTCCCCAGGCTCCTCCTAAAGGTCAGGCCAGGAGTAAGTAGCATCCATTCTACTACACAGGTAAGGACCAAAAGGGGCACCATGTCTACATTCTGCTCTAATCCATCTTGCCCAGTTTTCCCTCACAGCAAAGAGTGACCCAGCACTGGACACTGCTTGCCAAACCACCATGAAAACCTACCCTGTTAAAATATTAATCAAATGCACTCTTCAACCAGATTTTGCCAATCAAGTGTTTTTTTTTTTTTTGTTTTTTTTTGTTTTGTTTTTTTTTTGGGGGGGGAGGGGATGAGAATCCTAAGAAATGCTCCCTGATCAAATCAGCTGGTGCAAAAGCAGCCCACTTAGAGATGGGCACAAGGCATCAACATAGGGAACCCCCCCCCCCACTAGACTGCTTGTGCTGAGGCCCTGGACACCATGCACGGGTGATGGCCAACCTGGTAAGAGAAGTGAAGGTTTAGAACCTCTCCTTATTTGACTGAGTTACCTCAATGACATAGAAACACAGGGTGGGGTAGGGATGGGCTTTACTGTCCAGGACCTGTGAGTACTTCCCCTCTTCTAAGCGAGGCCCCAAGTCAGGAGAGAGTGAGTGAAGCTTACACTCCAGTGTGGTCCTGGGATGGAAGTCTGGTTCCCACTCTTGGACTTGGGTCTCAGGTTTCTGTTTAGGCTTCTCCTGGTCCCTGCCATGTTGTTCATGGCAAACACATTTGGTGCCAGGGCTCTTTTCAACTACCCCTGCCTTACATATCACTGTTTCACATGCCAGGCTTCATCTGCAGCATCTCAATGTCTTCAGAAGTCCCCAGGAGATAGCTGACACCAATATCCTTTGATGGGAAAGGGATTAAGAGAGAGGACTTGCCTAAGGTGTGGCCTGGTCTCCAACCTCTGTGGGTCTGCCTCTGACATCCAATGTTTCTAAGCACAGGGCCATGCCACATGACACCCATGCACCACAGGTACCAAAGATATTGGGGAGGGGCAGGGATAAACCCTGTCTCAATCTGTTGCCTCCCATCTCCTTCGTGCAGGGGGCCTAACAGCTGCGAAGCAGTCACTGTTGTCTTCTGAGAAATGACATGGGGGGGTGCGGGGGG